GAGAAGGGGACATTGCCCAAACCCCGCTGGATGAGGGCGTCGAAGAAGAAGATTTTGAATCTAGTGAGGGCAAGGAAAGGGGAGATTAGGCCTAAGTGTTGTTCGTTTTGTGTTTTGGTTGAAGTTGTGTTTGTTTGTTTGTTTTGTTTTGTTTTTTTTTTTTTGGTGAGAGCTCATTGTAAAGAATGGTTGAAATTTGTAAAGAACTTATGTTTACAATTTGGTAAAGAATTTGTGAAGAACTTGTGTTTACAACTTGGTAAAGAATTTGTGTTTATAATGAATTTGTGCACGGTAGGATGTAAAATTTGGTAATGAAATTGTTTATAAATGAATTAGACGAAGCGTGTAACTATTTCATGTACCAATTTGCCAAAAAGTTGACAAAACGGCTTGTTACTATAGTTTGTAATAAAGTTAAGTTATAAAAACTGCTGTATGTTTCGCCTTTGGGAGTGTGCTCAGTCTGGCTGATAGTATAAACAATGGAGAGAGCAGAATGTGTTTATCATTGATGCGCAGTGGTGCCACTATCCATGTATACATTGCATTGAAATGTCAAAAAACAGGTGGAGCTGCTAGTAAAAGGAACAAAACAATGGGGAAGAGCTACATGTCATTAGAAATATTGCTTCAAGTGCTTAGCCTTCCATAGGTGGGGTAAGGTCTTAGCCTTCCATGTCTTTTAAACGGTAGGTGCCTGGTTACGGCATGGATTTGACAATGTAAGGTCTTTCCCACTTAGCCACTAGCTTCTCTTCAGTGGGGTTTTTGGTGGCAAGGGTTGCTTTTCGTAAGACCAGATCTCCGGCTGCAAACTCCCTGTGTTGGACTCTGTGATTGTAGTGCTGCTTTACTTTCTGCTGGTACGAGGCTAGTCGGACGGAGGCTGAGTCTCGTAGCTCTTCAATGAGGTCCAGATCGACCCTCCGAAAGTCTTTGTTTAGTTGTGGATCAGTGTGGATAACCCTAGGCGTTGGTAGGCCAACTTCCATGGGGATGACTGCCTTGGCATCATATGTTAAGCGAAACAGGGTCTCTCCAGTCGGAGTTTTGGCGGTTGTCCGATAGGCCCAGAGCACGTTTGGCAACTCCTCTGCCCAGAGGCCCTTAGCAGTTTCCAACTTGGTCTTGATGATTTTTAGCAGGGAGCGGTTGATGACCTCTACCTGACCGTTAGCTTGAGGGTGGCCTGGGGAAGAGAAACAGGTCTTGATGTTGAGTTCATCACAGAATGCTTTGAATTTGGCATTGTCAAACTGTTTGCTGTTGTTGGAGACGATGGCTTGAAGAGTCCTGAAGCGGCATACAATGGACTGCCAAATGAACCTGGTAGTATTTCGCTCAGTAATTTTGGCAAGGGATTTTGCTTTTACTCATTTAGTAAAGTAGTCAATGGCGACCACGACGAACTTTACTTGGCCGCGGCCGGTCGACAAGGGGCCTACAAGGTCAACGCCCCACTTGGCAAAGGGATAAGGGTTGCTAAGTGTGATCAGTTCTGTTGGAAGGGCATAAGGGATGTTGGCGAAACGCTGACATTTGTCACCTTTGAGTACAAAGTTGATGGTGTCTCGATTGGGTGTGGGCCAAAAGTACCCCGTGCAAAGGATTTTTTGAGCTAAAGACCGTCCCCCAAAGTGGTTGTCGCAGACTCCTTCATGTATTTCTTTCATGACGTAGGTGGCTTGATCATTATTAAGGCATTTGAGGTATGGTCGTGAGAATCCTCTTTTATACAAGATGTCTCCAATAAGGACATAATTTGACGACCGAATCCTAATCTTGGCAGCCTCCTTCTTGTCTGGGGTAGTGTTCCCTGTTCTAAGAATGTGATAATGTCCTGGGCCCACGGGATAGGTTCATTCTGGAGTAGATAGATCACTTTCTGATTTGGTGAAATTGCTAGATGGGTCAGGTACTCAACCCGGATGCCATGGCAGAGGTTTGATTGATCAACTGAGGCTAACTGTGCCATTTTATCTACTTAGGACTTCTCTGACCTAAGAACATGTCTGATATGAAAGCTGTTAAAGAGGCAGGTCAGAGGAAGAGCAATGTCCCTGTATGATCGCATGGCTTCCTCCTTTGCATCAAACTCGCCCGTTATCTGTTCGACTACCAATCGAGAATCGCTAAACACTCGGAGATAGTTGACTTCAACGTCTCTAGCCGGGCAGAGACCCGCTATGAGGGCTTTATATTCGGCTTAGTTGTTACTTGCCGCAAATAGGAATCGAAGGGCGCGCTTGAAGTATTCTCCTTCTGGGGTGTTGAGGATTAAATCAGCTTCACTACCCTCTTTGCAGGATGAACCATTGACACTAAGAGTCTAGGAATGGGGGTCTTCCACCTCAGTGGTGACGCGTGCTAGTGAAGGGGGTGTGTTCGGAGTGAGATTGGTGAACTCCAAGATAAAATCAGCGACAGCCTGGCCTTTGATAGCTGTTTGGGGTTGGTAAGAAATTTCATACTGGCTTAGTTCAACGAACCATTGCATGAGTCTGCCTGACGATTTTGGTTGTTGCATAACCTTTTTCAAAAGCTGGTCAGTGAGGACCACTATGGAGTGGGCTTGAAAATAATTTCGGAGGCATCTGGAGGCGATGACAAGAGCGAGGGCAATTTTTTCTAACAAGGGGTAGTTCTGTTCTGCCTCTCGAAGTGCACGGCTGATATAGTAAACCAGGTGCTGGATGGAGCCGTTTTCTCTGATGAGGGCATCACTAACTGCGGTATTGGAGACGGCTAAGTAAAGGGAGAGGGTCTTGCCCAGCAATGCTTGAGAGACGAGAGGAGGATTAGCCATGTACTACTTTAGTTGTTGGAAAGTTTTCTTGGAGTTGGTGTTCCATTCGAAAGCCTGCGGGAGAACTTTGAAGAATGGAAGACATTTGTCAGTTGCTCGGGAAATGAATCAGTTGAGGGCGGCGACTCTACCACTGAGCCGCTGGACCTCCTTTACCATTTGGGAAGATTATATTTTGATTAGGGCTTTGATCTTCTTCGGATTGGCTTCGATACCTCTGTGGCTGACCATGAACCGCAAAAACTTACCAAATCCGACGCCAAAGGCACACTTTTCTGTGTTCAGTTTCATCTTATACTTGCATAGGGTTTGGAAGGTCTCTCGTAGGTCTGTTAGGTGATAGGAGAAGAGTCTGCTTTTGACGAGCATGTCATCGACGTAAACCTTCATGTTCCTATTTCTTGAAAATGGCATTAACTAGACGTTGGTAAGTGGCTCTTGCATTCTTCAGACCGAATGACATCACCCAGTATTGGTAAGTTCCTCTGTTAGTAATGAAGGAGGTATGTTCCTTGTCAGCTGCATGCATTAAGATATGATTATAGCTGGAGAAAGCATCCATGAAGTTGAGCATCTAGTGGCCGACCGTTGCGTCGACTAGTAGATCGATTCGGGAAAATGGGTAGCTAACCTTAGGACAGGCTCGGTTGAGGTCGGAGTAGTCGACGCATAGTCTCCACTTGCCATTGCTTTTGTAGACCAAGACTACGTTGGATAGCCATTTGGGGTAGTCTACATTTCTAATGAACTGGGCTTTCAACAGCTTGTCCACCTCAGTGGCAATAAGGTTGTTGCGTTCTGGATGAAAAGTGCGATGCTTTTGGCGGAATGGTCGGAACTGGGGCTTGATACTAAAGCGATGGTAATAAAAGAAGGGTCGATACTTGGCATGTCTGAATAAGTCCAAGAAAAGACATCCTTATGCTCAGCTAAGAGGGCCGTGAGGTCAGCCTTGGCCCGAGAGGACAGCTGGCTGCCAATCTTAGTCGTTTTTGTTGAATTGGTGGGGTCAATGGGTATTTCGAGCAGTTCTTCCACTGGTTCACCTCTAACTAGCTCTTCATCGTCTCGAACATCAAGGCCTTCGATGATTATAGCCTCCTTAATTTTGACTTCCTTTAACGAGGCGACGTAGCACTCTTTGGCCACCGTCTGTTCACCCCTCACTGTGCTGAACCCCTGATCGGTCAGAAATTTCATGGCCAAATGGTAGGTAGAGGTGACAGCTTGAAGGGCGTTGAGAGCAGTGCGACCGAGTATGATGTTATAAGTAGAAGGGCAGTCGATGACAAGGAAAGTAAGCAGTGTGGTGGACTACCGTGGATATTCTCCTATGGTGATAGGGCGATCGATGAAGCCTATGGAGGTCACTTGATCTCCGGTGAAGTCGACTAGTGGGGTTTGGAGAGGCGACAACTTTTCTCCTCCAACCTTAAGCTATTGGTAAGCGTTGAGGAAAATGATGTCGAAAGAGCTGCTATTGTTGACAAGTACTTGTCTGACTTTGTAATTTGATAAGAGAGCGGAAATGACTAGGGGGTCGTCATAGCGGTAGCGAATACCTGTGCAGTCTGCCTCTGTAAAGGTGATTGGTTCAGACCATTGCTTGGGCTGTTTGTAGGGGCGGTCCAGTGTCGTTACTTCCTTATCAGAACCTTGTCTGATTTTTCTGAGCTTAGCTCGCTGTGTCGACCGAGATGGTCCGCCGTACGCGAGCCCCCTAGTGATGACTTTGATCTCATCGACCAGGGAGGCAGGGGCCTTGTGCTTGGAGTTATGGTGGGACCCAATCATCATTTCTCTTGGGATAGGTTGTCGGGGAGGAGTGCGTCGGTGGTTGTGCCCGAGGGGTCAGTCCTCGGCCTTTGCTGGGGATGTGTTACTGTGAATCGGTTGAGATGCCCCTGGCAGATCAAATTCTCGACTTGAGCTTTAAGGTTGACATATTCCTCAGTGTTATGGCTGTGGTCTTGATGGAAACGACAATACTTAAATTGATCCTGCCGGTTGGAGGGAGATCTGCATGGTTGAGGCCATTTCAGGTTGTAGTCTCGTTGAATTTGGTGCAAGACTTACTCGATGGGTGAATTGAGAGGGGTGTACCTTTCGAACTGACCAAGCGGGCAAGTAGGTACCGGTCGGTCTGCCCGAGTCGATCAATCTGTGTACAGCGGGGTCGATGCGTATATTGTTAGGACCTGTGTTTGGGTTCTTTTCTTTTGTCTTTGGGGGGTGGATTTTTAGATGCAGAGTCTTGGAAGGCTGTCAGGGAGTCCTCGACATTCATATATTTTTTGGTTTTGGCAAGAAGGGCGACCATGGCGGACGGGGGATTTTTGGAAAGGAAGAAAAGGAAATCTGATGGGCACAAGCCAACCATGAAGGTGTTGAGAATGACCTTGTCATCATTTTCCTCCACTTGTAAGGCCTCGATATTGAAACGAGTGAAAAAGCTGAGCAATGACTCCCCTTTCGTCTGCCGGATGTTTAACAGTTGGGTTGCTAGATGTCGTTGCTGCTGAGCACCGATGAAATGGCTCAAGAAGGTCTCACTGAGCTGATGAAAGGAGGTGGCAGAGTCTGGAGGAAGCTGGCTGAACCATAGGCGCGTCGACCCCTTCAATGTGACAAGGAAGATGCAACACATGATTTCATCGGGGAAGACATAGAGAATCATGGGTATCTGATATGCTTCCACGTGGTCGACTGGATCAGTGGTATCATCAAACGTGTCGATCGATGACATTTTGAACTTGGAAGGGAGAGCTTTATCTCTGATGGAGGCGATAAAAGGAGAGTCGATGGTAGAGGAAGTTTTGTGCTGCATGTCTTGCATGACCTCTTGCAACTGCAGTTTCATGGCCCTCAGCTCCTCGTCCCAAACAGAGGCATTATCCCTGCAAGTAGGAATCGAAGGTTGAACACTGCTAGCCTCGCCGTTGTGAGCGACGGCCTGGTGCGGTGGGGGGTGATTATGGAAAGTTGATGGCGTCTTTTACCGAAGCTGCGAGCCTAAAGGAGGGGGGTGTAAACCATCGAGACTCGACGGTTGAGGGCATGGGGCGAAGGGTGAAAATGTTCCGTAGGGCATTTGTGGTAGGAGTTGTTAGTGATTGTGGGCTTGCTCGGGGTGCGGGGGAACTATTTGTGGTGGTGGAGGAGGAATAGGTAAATCGCGCTAGAGTAAGGCGTTGATCAGGGCTTGGTTTTGTTCGGTCAGACGGTTGACGCTGTTGGTAAGTTTTGCGAAATACGGAGGTGAGTTATTCCAGTTAGAGGACTCAGCTTCAGGATCCTCAGCATTGTGTTGGGAAGCAATGGACCTGGTCATTACATCTACCCTGACATAGGAGAGGGGTGAGGACGGGATTCCCTCTGGTGATAATGAACACAACTGTCGATCGGAGTTAGGTCTTCCCAAAGATGGCACCAACTCATGATGTGATGGTTCCAACGAAGGATGGATCGGGCTAATCCATGCTACAAACAGGTCTATTGGCCTTGAAGTCCACGGAATGTTCTTGTAAAAAGGTTCAAGGGGGGAGGTAATCCCCCAACGAACACTCCGACGATCGAGTTAGGATAGAATAGATTGATTATATTGAGAGAGAAGAGGGGGATGAAGAACTTAACCTTTAACGTATCTCGGGAGTTTCCTTATATCCTTTACTGTCACGACCCAAACCCGCCCCTATGGGTTTAGCACCGTAACCGGACAGTAATTCGTGATTACTGAAGGCCTGCTTAACAGTAATAACAGTAATACAGAGTACAGGAGATGGCGAAAGCCAAACAGTAATAAAAGATGTCTAATGAGCTGTGACAGTCTGTATGCAAAAAAGACTTTTCATATATATTCACATTCAAAACAAAAGCAGTATGTACATACGTCATATACAGGCATTCAGGTTAGGGACCAAATCCCTACCATAACAGTACAGTACAAGTCTATACAGTCTACACAAAATAGAGACAGAAAGAGGGAATCTAAGACACCCCGAAGCAACCTTGGCTTGGACACAGTTGGAACCTCGCAGTGAGGCACGTTGGTTGGCTTGATAAAAAGGGAGTTTAACCCAACGCTCCTAACTCCGATCTGGTGCCTGGACACCTACATATATATATAAATAGTAAGCTAAAGCCCAGTGAATAACATATGCGTAAAGAGGTTAGGAATGAATGTCATTTCAGTATTTAAAACAGTCAGTTATAACAGTATATCAATCATTCAGTCATAGCAGTCATATGTGGTACATCCCATAGCAAAACAGTACAGTAAGTCTTAACAGACCGAACAGTCAGTTGATGGCCATCATATCAGTAAACAGTAGTGGTTCCAAACATGGGAACCGACAGAGATCTCTGTGACAGTAGCAGTACAGTACAATAACAGTAAATTGCTATGGATGCCACGAATACGGTTCGCAAATAGGACAAGCACTCGTTCAGTAAGAAATATCATTTCAGAAAGCAGTACAGTTGATCATTCAAAAATTATTCATGATTGAATATATTTTTACAACATTGTTACTCACAAAGTTCTGGGTTACAGATAGGCTAGTGAGCATCCTCGGATGCCAACCCTACACAGTTACAGAACGAACACACGTTAAGTTACACTCTTGGGAATCAATGACTTAGTCCCTATCTTGACTCGGTGTGGTTCTACATCAATATCCTCATTAAGATGCCTTAAACAAGGTCTAGGAATGCCTAGGATGAAATGATGATGCAAAGATATGCTTTAAAACACTTTTCAAAATTTTTAGAAAAACAGGGGTCTCGCTCGAGCGTGGCTTTCTATGCTCGAGCGGACATGTAGACAAAGGATCCCGCTTGAGCGTGACTTTCCTCGCTCGAGCGGACTGTAAAAGTACTGGATGCATGAAATTCACGCTCGATGGGCGCTCGACCCCCGCTCGAGCGTGAGACACAAGTCCTCGCTCGAGCGGACTTTCCCTCGCTTGAGCGGACTGTAAACACATGCAAAGTACTAGATACACGCATTTCACGCTCGAGCGTTACTTTTCTCACTCGAGCGGACTGCATGAACTCAAAGTGTACGCTCGAGTGTGGATTCAAAATCTGGAATTTTCAGATTTGTCTCCAAACATGAAATTCAACATTTAAAGCATCAAATTCGATCCTTTTGGTCTAATTGTTTGGAAAACACTTTAAAACTCATAATATGACATGTTTCGAAGATCAATTTGCAAAATCAAAGCCCAAAGGTAGTTCAATTGAACCCATTTCCAAACAAAACTTCAAGAACATGATGAACATGCAACATGCATGAATTTAATCAACTTCAAAGCTTCCAATACATGATCAAATGAGTCAAAACTTCCAAAAACATGATGAATTCATGAACTATAACCCAAATATGGACATGCATGTGAGGATTCTATGAAAACAACCTCAAAATTCAAGAATGTAAACATGTATGCATGATTCAAGCTCACTATTCCACATTTTGAGTCATAACTTGGCTCTAGACTTCAACATTCTTCTAAACAATGCAAAAACCAACTCAATTCATAAACAAGAAGACAAAAGCTCTACCTTAAGTCTTTAATTTCAAGAAAGGAAGCTCACTTATGCAATCTCTCTTCAAAATCTTCAAGTCTCCAAGCTAAATTTGTTGAAATCAAGTTTTTCCTCTATCTCACTCTCTTACTCACCGTTTGGTCTCTCAAAGATGAACAAAAGATGTAACCAACATGAATGAAGTAGAAAAAGGATGGTCTGGTGTCAAGCCACTAAGTGGCAATTAGGTAATAAACTCAAGTTGATGTATTTTACCTTTATTTAATTTAATTTAATCATACCAAATCAAATTTTAATTAAATCTACCATAAAATCACATAAATTCTAATAATTATGAAACACCAATCAATTTCAGATTCGGCCGCCGATAAGGCATTCAATTTGCAGTTTAAAACATAAAACATGAACAGATCATTAGCAGTCAAACAAATAGACATGCATTCAAACTAATACACTCAATCAATCGGTCAGAATTTCAGTCAATCAGTCACTTAACATGCTTAATCATAAATTAGCACTAATTAGTGGTGAGGGTTGTCACAGTCTCCCCTCCTCACAAAGAGTTTGGTCCTCCAAACTCTAATTACCTTCATTTTGGAAAAATACCGGATCCAGAGGGAACAGTTCAGGATATCTCTTGATAATATCGTCTTCCCTTTCCTAAGTGGCATATACGCCACCATGGTTTTGCCAATCAACTTTCACTAACGGAATTTCTTTGTTCCTTAACTTCTTGATATGTTGGTTTACAATCTGAATAGGCCATTCTTCATAAGTGTAGTCATCACTTAGCACTACACGGGTAGGCTCAATAACATGAAAGGGATCCCGAAGATAATCCCTCAACATTGAAATATGGAAGACATTATGCATATGCTCCATTTCAGGAGGAAGCGCTACTCGATACGCCACTGGAGTGATTTTCTCAATAATCTCATACGGTCCGACATACCTCGGCGCTAGCTTGCCTTTGACCCCAAAACGGGTCTGCCTTTTCATCGGTGTCACTTTAACAAAAACGTGATCACCTACTTCATATTTTCTATCTCGCCTTCGGACATCCGCATAACTTTTCTGTTGGCTTTGTGCGGTTTTCAATCTTTGCTGAATCAGTTTCACCTTTTTTGTGGTTTTCTGTACAATCTCGGGCCCAAGCAAAGGCCCATCTCCAACTTCTGCCCAGCAGATAAGAGATCGACATTTCTTGCCATATAAAACCTCGAAAGGCGCCATACCAATGCTTGAATGAAAACTATTGTTGTAGGTGAATTCAGCCAACGGTAAGTGGTTTTCCCAATTTCCCTGAAAATCAAGGACACACATTCTCAGTAAATCCTCCAGAGTCTGGATGGTTCTTTCTGACTGGCCATCTGTCTGAGGATGGTATGCACTACTCTATCTCAGTTCAGTACCCAATGCTGTCTGTAGGCTTTGCCAGAATCTCGATGTAAACTTCGAGTCCCTATCAGAAACAATGGACACAGGCACTCTATGCAATCTAACATTCTCATCGATATAGAGTATAGCCAATTTGTCCGCATTATAAATTGTTTTGATAGGTAAGAAGTGAGCAGATTTAGTCAGTCTATCAACAATAACCCTGGAGCGAGGTAAACCAACAATGAAATCCATGGTGATATGTTCCCATTTCCACTCCGGTATCGGTAAGGGTTGCAGTAAGCCTGCGGGTCGTTGATGTTCGGTTTTGACTTGTTAGCAATGAAGACATTTCGATACAAAGTCAGCAATTTCTTTCTTCACTCCCGGCCACCAGAAATTTAGTTTCAAGTCTTGGTACATTTTTGTATTTCCTGGATGGATAGACAGTTTTGAATTGTGGCCCTCTTACAGAATTCTTCTTTTCAGTTCAGAATCACTCGGTATCTTCTTCAAGAAGTCATCCTGTTGCCGTTTCTCTTTAATCTCTTCAATAAGTGCCGGTTGAGCAGAAATAGCAGCTACTTTTCCACCTTGTTCATGCAAAACAATCTCAACTTCAAATTTTTCAAGGTCACAAAGCAATTCTTTCTGCCTGGTGAGTAAACAGGCTAAATTTCCAATCAATTTCTGACTCAGTGCATCGGCAACGGTGTTAGCTTTTCCTGGATGGTACAAAATTTGTAAGTCGTAGTCTTTTATCAGCTCTAACCATCTCCGTTGTCTCATGTTCAGTTGTTTCTGTGTGAAGAAGTACTTCAAACTCTTGTGGTCTATATACACCTCACATGTTGCCCCATAAATGTAGTGACACCAGATTTTCAATGCGAACACTATTGCAGCAAGTTCCAAATCATGGGACGGGTAGTTCTTTTC